CTGAGATCTTAATCATACAAGACTCTGATTCAAGACTTGGAACTTGGGAGTATTTCCAACTCAGTGTCCACTCCCCAAGGTGAGGCAGGACTATGCCCCATTTTAGCAGGAAGTAGCCAGACAGGTCATCACCCCATTCCCTCAAAGATTTGGAGAAGGTTGAAACAGGGGTGGGGTATTAAAACTGAGTCATCCATCTCCCCAGCCCCCAAAAGTGGACCCCCTCGGCGGAGTTTATGATTAATCTCTTTATCCAAAAGTTTACTCCCTTTCTTATCCCACACCTGTTCCCATCAAGACTGAGGAGTATCAAAGAAAAGGGGAATTTAAAGTGAGTGGGGCCCCGCAGGCCCCTCCCAGGTACAAGCCTTTCTGTGTCCCTATAGATAACAATCTGATACATAACTGAGTTCTTCACCAGGAACTAAAGCCCCCACCCAGGCAGAGGACAGTAACTTCAGGCTGTGCACAAGCACATGGACCCAGCCTAGCTGAAACAAGATGGCTGATGACTGAGATTTCTTTAACACCACCCTGTTACCATCAATCAGAGGAAGGTCACACACCCTGCACCTTCCCCCAAATTTTGCCTGTAAAACCACTTCCCTAGACACCACCAGGGAGTTCGGGTCTTTATAACATGAGCTGCCTGTTCTTTGCTTGCCCTTTGCAATAAACTTTGCTCCAAATTCCATTTCAGTTTGTTTGGCCTCACTGTGCACTGGGCACACGAACTTGGGGTCTACAACACCAGTTCATATCCTTTACACCTTTAGTTAATATTTTAAAATATTAGTAGGGGCTCTTTGTATTATTAAAGGGATTAACTCACTGTCATGTTTGTTGCCATTATTTTCAGACTTTTGGCTTTGTTTATATAGTATGATGTTACTAGTTGCTGGTTTCTTGCCTTTCATTATGAGGTTTCCCAACTCCAAGGTTAGATACTCTAAATTTCTCTAAATGTATTTGGTTTAGTATCTAGAGCTTAAGTCATCTGAAATTATTTTTTCTATGGCTTCTAGGGTTTTGTTCTCATGCAGATGGACAGCCCATTAAGTCGACATTTACTAAATCAACTAAACCTTTTCCCAAACTGAAAACACCTTAGTCCATATATTGGCTTTGTGTCTATACAAACACCAAGGTGTAGTCAAGTCTCTGTGCCATAATTCTATATTTGTCATCATCATACTCCCTCTATTTGCTTACTGTACTTCACAGTAAATTAATAAGAAGACAACTCTCCCTTCACTGTGATCTTTTTTTAATTTTTTCTTGGCTAGTCGTAGATAATTACGGTTTCAAGAGAACTTCAAAATCATTTGGTCTAATTCTAAAAACCCCCTTGGGGATTATGGTGCTTTTTCATCTAAGAAAAAACTTGTCTCTCCACATATTCACACTTCAGTTGCTTGTCTTTCAATAAGATCTTAACATAATTCTATCAGTCTCAAAATCATTCTTGTTAAATTTATTCCTAGTGTCAACTGGTCATTATTTAGAAAAGGGATTTCTGGCCCACACTCAATTTCCATTCAAACTTTTGCATTTAGAATAAGGAAAAAAGTTTTAGTCTGCCTTTATCCTATCGCTACACCAAATTCTCATGAGTTCAACTTGTTTTCTAGAGGAGTTTTCTATATTTTGTGAGCATTCATATCCTCTGCAAGTAATGTGGTTCTGTCTATGTTTATACTGTTTTCATTTTCCTACCTTACTGCATTAAGGACTCAAAAACAAGGTTAAACAGAGCATCCTCTAGTTCCTAGTTTTAGTGGAAACCGCTTATGTATTTTGCCATTTAATACAGTATCTTTACATTTCTGATCGTTTCTATTATGTTTAGGTAGTTTCCCTTCTCTTGCAATTTTCTTACCAAGTTTTTATTAAGACTGCTAAATATTCTCAAATGGTCTGTCACCTGTTAATACCAAATTATTTTATTATTTTTATAATGGATTGTGTTGACAATAGATTTATGGATTGTGTTGATAAGAGATTTAAGATTCATATCTCTTTGGGCTTCCCTGGTGGCGCAGTGGTTGAGAGTCCGCCTGCCGATGCAGGGTACACGGGTTCGTGCCCCGGTTCGGGAGGATCCCACATGCTGTGACGCAGCTAGGCCCGTGAGCCATGGCCGCTGGGCCTGCGCGTCCGGAGCCTGTGCTCCGCGACGGGAGAGGCCACAACACTGAGAGGCCCACGTACCACAAAAAAAAAAAAGATTCATATCTTTATCCTTAACTAAATTTTTTTTTTGGACATAATTGAAAATTCTTTAACCTGCTAGACTTACTGCTTATAAATCTATATTCTAAAAAAGGATAACATTAATTATGTTTTATAAATGATAAACAGTTGCAAGGACCTGGTATTTTCTTAATGGTAGTATTTTAATGGCTAAGGGGCTTGCCTACTGCTGTTCCACAGACCAGGAACCCCCACCCCTTTAGAGCTCCAGGAAAACTCTCAGCCTCAGAATTTTTCAGACTCCCCCTGGTGGCTTTTCTGTTCCTGAAAGGGAACTCCACAGTACTGAAGGTTTAGGTTTGTGGTTCTTGTTACATTTTTTTCTTAATCCATAAGTCAACCTAAGGAGCCGCCAGGGAGACATGAATTTGAAACATTCCTCTAAAGTTACCCTATAAATTGCCCTTTAAACTCTCTAAACTTACTGTCTTTATCTACAAAATAGAAACAGTTGACACTTGACACAGATGTGAGGATTAACACTTTAGGCAGAGGGTCTGGCTAACAATGCAAACATTTGCAAATAATGGTAACTTTTAGCTCATTGTGAAAAGTCTGTCATGCTCTGAAGAACCTAAATTCCCCCTCTTCTTTTTCATGTGTACAGCATTATATTTTGACTTCCGTGCATACTATAGTATGCTCACTGCCAAAAGCATAGTTTCCATCCATTACCATACAGTTTGATCCCCTTTAACCATTTCACCCTCCCCTACCCCTTCCCCTCTGAGAAGCACTACTCTGTTCTCTGTATCTATGTATTTTTATTTGGTTTGGTTTGTTCCTTTATTTAAATTTTTTTAATATTCCACATGAGTGAAATCAGTATTTTTACAGTATTTTTCTTTCTCCATCTGACTTTATGCTAAGTGGAAATAATACCCTCAAGGTTCATCCATGTTGTCACAAATGTCAAGATTTCTTTCTTTTTTTATGGCTGAGTAGGATTCTATTGTGTATACATACACCACATCTTCTTTATCCGTTCATCTGTTGATGGACAGTTAGGGTCCTTCCATATCTTGGCTATTGTAAATAATGCTGCAATAAACATGGAGGTGCACGTATCTTTTCGAATTAGTGTTACCCTTTTCTTCAAATAAACACCCAGGATTGGAACTGCTGCATCCTCCCTCCCTTTTTAAACTTTCCAACAGTGTAAGTGAAATACGTACTTCCTTTCCCTCTTGCCCATAAAACTATCACAACTGCATTTTAACATTGATATAATTTCTCTCTGTTTAAAAAATTAACACATGTGGGGGGCGCAGTGGTTAAGAGTCTGCCTGCCAATGCAGGGGACGCGGGTTTGTGCCCCGGTCCGGGAAGATCCCACATGCCGCAGAGCGGCTGGGCCCGTGAGCCATGGCCGCTGAGCCTGCGCGTC